AAAAAAAAAAAAAAAAAGCCAATCCCATGCATATACTCATATCATGTTTCTACTCTGCCCCTTGTCAGGATTGGATTTCCATATATAAACCCCAATTTACATACACAAGCTCAAAGTTTGTCAGAAACCTTCAATATGGTCTTTTAGCAAAGATTAACATCAGGACTGTAGTGCCTATGTACCAACTGCCTTTTGAAACAGACAAGCCATAAACTCTTTGGTTTGTTGTTGTTTTTCCATTGTAGTAAATCTTTCCACCAGCAAAGCCCAGCTCCTAGAACTGCTCTAGCCACTACAGAAAAAATACACCAATTATAGTTTTACACCTGCGTAGAAAGGCAAATCAGCTCCCAGAAAGGGGGACTACAAACCCACATTTCCTACCACCCAGTGAAATGCATAAGTAAAAGGTCAAATTAGGTTATTCATTACTCTCTGCCAGTATACTCCCTAATCAATATTGTATTTACCAGATGTAAAGCAGAAATAGTTCATTGTTCTGGCACAATAATACCTGAGAAAAGCCATAACAGAATCATGAAAGCTTCTCAAAGGACCACAGTACAGGTGTCACTATGTTTTATTCCGGAGAGCATCCTATGTCTGACAGTTTTTATCAGCTCAATCAAACAGATTGCTTAAACCCAAAGTAAAGGAAAGGCAGTACCTGCGCAAGGTGTCTCTTTGTGCGTGTGCCTGCCTTCTCCGACACACATCAACTAACTCTAAACCTAACTACATACTAGCTACAAATGAAGTACTTCTTCCTCTGACCCTAACCACCACAGCTAGGTCAGCTCTCTCAAATTAAAGGGTACAGTCTTCCAGGCTGTCAATTCTAACCAAGACTTCAGAGGCCAGCACAAGCTTGGGGGTCCTCATGACACTTTCACTTCTTACCTGCTGGTTACAAATTCAAAAGCTCCCTCTACCCCCTCAGGATACCAGCCACAATCTCAGGAGTCCCCAGGCCCCTTTCACTTCTGAATTGCTGGCTACAAATTCGGCATTCCCATTACATCCTTGGGTTTGATAATTCACTAGAATAGCTCACAGAACTCAGAAAAGTGCTACACTTATGATTATAGTTTTATTACAGCAAAAAGGATATGAAATAAAGAAACACATAGGGAGGTATGAGAGGGCCCTCAATGCAGAACTTCCATGGCCCAAAAAAGTAAAATGTCACCCTCCCAAGCACTGATTTCTTTCACCAAACAGTAAGCACTTAGGCATTCAGTGTTCAGAGCTTTTACTGAAGTCTCGTATATAGGCACGACTGATTAACTGAATCATTGCCCACTTGTTTGAGCTCAATCTCCAGCCTACCCCTTCCCTTAAGTTCAGGCTGATATCTTGCAAGCATGGCCAGCCCACGATCAACATGAGTCACTCATCAGCATAAACCCTCAGGTATGCTCTGAAGCCCTCAAGGATAAAAAAGACTCCAATCACTGTGAAAATTACAAGGTTATCTCTTAGGAATCAAAGATAAAGACCAAATTCTTTGGGTAAAATTAATTGTAAACCCCAGTGTGTTCTAAAAACAACAGTCATAACCTGGCCAGGCTTTTGAGAGAACCTGAGATATTATTTATGGTTACTCTTTTATAACTGTTTTTTGTGTGGATCACTGCTGTCAATAATTTGATGCTATCCAACTGAGTAGTACTTAGGGGATTAAACGCAGCCAAACATATTCTAGTTATGACAGGAAAAAAAAAAAAGGGAATATAAATAAGTCTTTGAAAGTACCTCTCTCAAACTGAAGAAGTAGTACTTCACAGGAATCAGTCTTCAATATTTAAACTTGAAATGTTACAATAATTAAGAAACTCAAAATACAGCCTGGCTCAGGAGGTTAAGATTATACTGCTATGGGATAAGCTTACTATGATTATAATCTTTGTTAGCTTTTGTCATTTTACTTTAAGTATCCTTGACAGATTGATTTTTCAAAAGGTGTGTTTTAAAATTAATAAGGATATAACTGCACTTCTTTCAAAATATTCCATGATACAAATGTCTCAAGAATTTGTACAGAAGCATTCCCTCTTCTACTTATTCCAAACCACTGGAAATTCCAGAAGCTATGGAAAATGGTTTCTACTCTCCAAAAACCTTAAGGAAAGAATGTTATGGCAGAATTCTCAAATTAATACCAGTTTCATTTTCCGTACATGATTAAATTCAAGACTTTACCTTGAAATGTTTAAATGTGCGCTTACGATATTCACACCACTCCACAAAAAAGTGCAGGCTTCTGAAAAACATGAAAAGATCTCTTCTTTCTTCTGCTCTGTAGGATTAAAAGAATCCATGATTAATAAATATCATTGAATGATAGTTTGTGAGGTGCATAATAAAGTAATTTGGCCTTTTATTCTGGGTTCTTAAGAACCTCAAGGACTGTGGCTCACCTGGGGCCTGATACTGACTAAACCTCAGGAGACACAATGTAATTTACCATGACCACGTGGTTGGGTCAATAAAGGCTTTGGAAGACAGATGCTCAGATGGGGCTTCCAGGTTGGACAGAGTGAACATCTGCTCTCTGGAGGGTAAGCGTTTCTCCTGGGGATATGGAAGCTCTGGACTGGAACCCCTCCCAGAAAAAACCCTATGTGTCTTCCTTTGTATCCTTTTTTGTTATATACCTTCTCCTCACTTAATGACTACCTCATTATCTGACATTTTGCATTTATGACAATAGTAAAAAATCTACCATTCAACTATTCTGCACATTAATGACGTAAGTCTGGCAGTACCAAATGCCAAGGTGCAAGGCAAGAGTAACACTGGCTGTGATAAGTAAGGTTATGTGTCAACTTGGCTGGGCCCTGATTCTCAGTGGCTTGGCAGTTGTGTAATGATATAGTCAACCTCCATTATGTGATCTGATATGGTCATCCTCCATTTTTGCATAATACCAATTTTGCATAACGACCTAATCTTTGGAACCAAACCATGTTGATAAGTGAGGAGATGGTGTACTGAACTTGTTATATTAGGTATGGTGTCTCCTGTGAGCTCTGTGAGCTGTTCCAGTGGACCCAAAGGAGCAAGGGAAGCAGGTCGGTCTGAAGTGGAGGGAGTCATATGGACTCCTGGGCTTGTGGTTGTTACCCTGAGCGGGTAGAGAAAAACCCCAGGTTTGGAGTCAGCTAGTCTGAAGTAGAGGGAGTCATGTGGACTCCTGAGCTTGTGGTCGTTACCTGCTGACCCATTACTGAGTGGCTGTGGATGAGAGATAGAAGGGGTGTCTTAGTCATCTAGTGCTGCTATAACAGAAATACCACAAGTGGATGGCTTTCACAAAGAGAAATTTATTTCTTCACAGTAAAATGGGTTAAAAGTCCAAATTCAGGGTGTCAGCTCCAGGGGAAGTCTTTCTCTCTCTCTCAGCTTTCTCATCAATGTTCCCCCAGACTAGGAGCTTTTCTGCGCAGGGACCCTGGGTCCAAAGGACACGCTCTGCTCCTGGCACTGCTTTCTTGGTGGTATGAGGCCACCCTGTCTCTCTGCTCACTTCCCTCTTTTATATCTCAAGAGATTGCCTCAGGACACAATCCAATCTTGTAGATTGAGTCCTACCTTACTAACACAACTGCCACCCATCCTCCCTCATTAATATCATAGAGGCAGAATTTACAATATGTAAGAAAATCACACAATACTAGGAATCATGGCCCAGACAAATTGACACATGCATTTTTGGGGGTACATAATTCAATCCATGACAAGGGGCCACTTGCCTAAAGTGGAGGGAGTCAAGAGGGACTCCTGCGCTTGTGGCCCTGTACCTGCTGACCCAGTCCTGGGGAGGGGGGGCTATGTGAGCAGCTGGGGTCTGAACTAAACAGGGAAGGGAAACTGAGATTCCCAAATGATGCAAATGGCATGTGTTATCCACCACATAATTTGGCATCAGAGGTGGGTGATCTTAGTCAGATTCCCTGGACTGGCTTGCACAATTGGCACAGACAGCAGAGTTAGCCAGAGAGAAAACTGATCGCTCAGAGCCCTACCCCAGCTTTCTTTCTTATTATTACTTTTTATATATCCTAAAGTTACAAACGTATTTTATATGCCTCTATATAATGAACACTGCACTTCTCAACCCCATGCGATTGTTAATGCCATTTTCTCAGCCTGGAATGCACTTTTCCAAATTTTCAAATTTTTAAATCCTACCCATCTTTCAAGGTATCAGTCAATGACACATTCTACTTGAAAATCTTATTTGATGGCCTCACCAACTATATACCCCACTCCCTAATAGTTAGAAGTAATTTTTCATTCTTTTGCTTATGAGCTACCACATAAATTTATCTTAATTCTCTTAGCATTACACCTATTGTAATATCAACATCCGTGTATTCTTCATTATATACACTACAAACAATGTGAGGGCAAGATTCATGTATTCCTTAATCATTTGTTTAATAAATGCTTGTGAGAATGAAGTTCCTGTTCTAATCATGAAGTAAAGCACATTCCACCCAAATGCTCCCATTAATAACAATTTAAAGCCCTAGACCTAACTCATAAAGCAACTATCTGAAAACTCTGAATGTGGAATGAAGGCAGAATGGATAGGACTTCAGGACTCACAAAAGGGCCTGGCGATGAGCCTTGGGTTTATTTTTGCCTACTGTGTATCACAGACTGGCCGCCAGAGCACTCTACAACCCAGAACTGCCAAAGGGTGCAGACAAAAATATAAAAGGCCCCGGGAAAGTCTGCTTCCTCTAGCCAGCAGAGGCTATGTAGGACAAGAAGAAGGAGGTCTTGCAGACTGGAATCCTAATGCCAAGAAAGAGCCATGACCCTTTCCCTCCCTGTGGTGAAATGAGTTCCTTTATGTGGCCTTTTGCCTGGGTTCTTTGGAAAAACAGCCTCAGAGGATTTCCCCCTAAGCACTGAGGAGTTACCTTTTCCCTAGTTTTCTACGCCAGAGGGTTTGTTACTTTTGTCCAGGTTGTTTGACATTTCCTGCGTAAGCTGTAAACAACTTGTGGTTTGATACTTTTTGGCTGGTTCTCGGCTGCAGCCTGCCCTGTGATTGGTGTGCACCTTGAAGGGATTGGTCAATATACTATGCAAATGAAATTACTATAGACTATGCAAATGAAGTTACTATAGCCTACTATGCAAATGAAGTGTCTGTTGCCTACCAAGAGAGGCGATTAGTCAGTTTGTGGCCCTTGTGGGAGGGACATGCCTTGAATTGGACAAAAAACCCATTGCTGTCAAGTTGATTCCACCTCATACCAACCCTATAGGACAGAGTAGAAATGCTCCATAGGGTTTCCAAGGCGCCGCTGGTGGATTTGAACTGTTGACCTTTTGGTTAGCAGCTGAATGCTTAACCACTATGCCACCAAGGCTCCGAAATTGACAAGGAGTTTGCATATATATGCAGCCAACCTCACAGAGGTTTTCCAGACAGGAAGCAAAAATGAGAAAAGGCAAGAGAGAGAAGAAGCAGAGAGAAAGGAGGCAAGGAATCTCCACAAAGAGCTATAACATGGGTAAAGGGCTGTAACGCTGAAGACAGCGACAGGCCTGGAAGGGGCCCAACAACAGAGCTCGTGACGACAATCTTGTAACGGGCCCTGCAGAAGAGTGGTGGGGACAGACAGTAGGGCCAAGAGGAGCCTGTCCTGCGGGTGTTGAAAGGAGCTTGACCTGAAGGTGCCAAGAGAAGGCCTCTCGCGAGGGCACCGAGAGGAGGCCTGCACGGCCAAAAGGAGCTGAGAGAGCTATCCTGCACTGAAGAAGAGAGATTTTGCCTACATGTTTCCTGATCCTGATCTTGAGTTGTAGCCTGTTAATCCTAATCCTGAGTTGTTCCCTGTTACTTCCTTAATAAACCACTTAATGGTATGGTCTGTGAGTTCTGGGTGGCCATTGCAATGGATTATCGAACCCAGCAGAGAAGTAGAGAGTGCCATGAGAGGGATGGCTGGTGTCAGAACTGGTAAAAAGTTTGGAGAGTGGAGATATGTCTGACCTCTACCTCATGGGAATCAGCTTTAAGCTGATCCTGGTCATTATGCCACCTGAAGTTAGGTTCTGATGCTACTACTCCCACCATTTTATATTCACAATCAGGTATGGAGGCTGTGGTGTGAAGTCTGTCAACCAGCACTGCTGGCAATAAGCAAACCCAGGCAAAGGGGCAATGGTCTCACTCTCCAAAGAATGCTGCTGCTGGGGAGACTGGGGGGAAGCCTTATCAACTAGCCCCATCTGGCCCTAAGCAAACAATAGCAGAGTTGGTGCCAGGCCCACTCTCCACCACCAAGGCTGATGCAAACACAGTGGGATGTTTTGTCAGCTATCCACACACTATACTAAGTGAACACAAGCCAAGAGTTGGGGAGAATCAGAGAGAAGGAACGTAGAGAAAGAAATCCTTTAAATATGTGTATGAAGTCCTAGAATCACTGTCAAGTGGCTCATACACAAAATCAAAGGGTAAAAATACTGAGAACAAAACTATGGCGCAGAACTCAAGGCCCAAGACTCAGACTGGCCTCTGGCAGTGCACAAGTAGGGCAGACCAAAATAGGACATTTCAGCTATATGATAGTGGCCCATAAAAATGAGTCAGGTTGTGCTTTTTGAATAAAAATGCACATGATAAGGACATGAGTGAAAACAGCAGAGTAAGGACCTCTGGAGGATTTCCCTCCCACAAACACTGAAAAACCTAGCAAAAACTGGCAAAATCAACCTTATCGGAACTCTGAAAGATAGTTAAAAGTTTACAGCAACCAAGTCAACCCTTAACCAAGACAAAAGCCATTTAAAACAGAAGAGAGCATTGTAACATTTTAACATATCCTTCCCTCCACAGTGAGTCTTGAAGATGGCATCCTGTGTTCCTGGTGTTGTTACCTGCCTCTGGAGATAGTGGAGCAAACCTTGCTTGTTTTGACCTGTCTGTGGGTTCCTTGTAGGACTAACATAAAGAGTATGCCTTTGATTCACCTAACTTGGAACTGTCTAAGAGTGGAGAGGCAGCTACATGGACGACATTCCTCAAAAACACTGAAAGCCAAAAATAAAAAAGAGGCTGCTACATGAGGCAAAAAATAACAATCAAAGCAAATAACAGATACACTGAAAGCTGGAGAGAAAATGCTAAAGAGTAGGGATCTTTAGGGAATAAGAATTTTGAAAACCCCCTGTGGAAACCAGGGAACCTAAAAACCCACATGCATGCCCAGGGAAGGACACGTGCTCAGAAAAGTACTGAGAAGACCATAAGTTTTCATCTCTAGCTGATCT